ACCCACACCAGTCCACTAGCACCCAGGATGTGACCCACACCAGTTCAGTAACATCCAGGATGTGACCCACACCAGTCCACTAACACCCATGATGCGATCCACACCAGTCCACTAACACCCAGGATGTGACCCACACCAGTCCACTAACACCCATGATGCGATCCACACCAGTCCACTAACACCCAGGATGTGACCCACACCAGTCCACTAGCACCCAGGATGTGACCTACACCAGTCCACAAACACCCAGGATGCGACTCACACCAGTCCACTAGCACCCAGGATGCGACCCACACCAGTTCACTAACACTCTGGATGTGACCCACACCAGACTACTAACACCCAGGCTGTGACCCACCCCAGTCCACTGACACCCAGGATGTGACCCACACTAGTCCACTGACACCCAGGCTGTGACCCACACCAACCCACTAACACCCAGGATGCGACCCACATCAGTTCACTAACTTCCAGGATGCGACCCACACCAGTTCAGTAAGAACCAGGATGTGACCCACACCAGTCCAATAACACTTAGAATGCGACCCACACCAGTACACTAACAATCAGGATGCGACCCATTCTAGACGACAAACAATCAGGATGTGAACCACACCAGTCCACTGTCACCCAGGATGCGACCCACACCAGTCCACTTACACCCAGGATGCGACCCACACCAGTTCAGTAACACCCAGGATGTGACCCTCACCAGTCCACTAACACCCAGGATGTGACCCACACCAGTCAACTGACACCCAGGCTGTGACCCACACCAGTCCACTAGCACTCAGGATGCGACTCACCAATCCACTAGCACCCTGGATGCGACCCACAGCAGTCCACTAACACCCAGGATGCGACCCATTCCAGACCACTAACACTCAGGATGTGACCCACACCAGTCCGCTAACATCCAGGATGCGACCCATACCAGTTCAGTAACACTCAGGATGCGACCCACACCAGTCCACTAATACCCAGGATGCGACCCATTCCAAACCACTAACACCCAGGATGCGACCCACACCAGTTCAGTAAGAACCAGGATGTGACCCACACCAGTCCACTAACACTCAGGATGTGACCCACACCAGTCCACTGTCACCCAGGATGCGACCCACACCAATCGACTTACCCCCAGGATGCGACCCACACCAGTCCACTAACACCCAGGATGCGACCCACACCAGTTCAGTAAGAACCAGGATGCGACCCACACCAGTACACTAACACCCAGGATGTGACCCACACCAGTACACTAACAATCAGGATGCGACCCATTCTAGACGACTAACACTCAGGATGTGACCCACACCAGTCCACTGTCACCCAGGATGCGACCCACACCAGTCCACTGTCACCCAGGATGCGACCCACACCAGTCCACTGTCACCCAGGATGCGACCCACACCAGTCAACTAACACCCAGGATGCGACCCACACCAGTCAACTAACACCCATAATGCGACCCACACCAGTCCACTAACACCCAGGATGTGACCCACACCAGTCCACTAACACCCAGGATGCGACCCACACCAGTCAACTAACACCCAGGATGCGACCCACACCAGTCCACTAACACCCAGGATGTGACCCAAACCAGTCCACCATGATCACCATTAAATAGTGATGTGCCCTGCAGGAAACACATCCATAAGTCTAGTCATCAACCTTATACCTGTTAACACATAGTCTAGTCATCAACCTTATACCTGTTAACACATAGTCTAGTCATCAACCTTATACCTGTTAAACACATAGTCTAGTCATCAACCTTATACCTGTTAACACATAGTCTAGTCATCAACCTTATACCTGTTAACACATAGTCTAGTCATCAACCTTATACCTGTTAACACATAGTCTAGTCATCAACCTTATACCTGTTTAACACATAGTCTATTTCATCAATCTTATACCTGTTAACACATAGTCTAGTCATCAACCTTATACCTGTTAACACATAGTCTAGTCATCAACCTTATACCTGTTAACACATAGTCTAGTCATCAATCTTATGCCTGTTAACATATAGTCTAGTCATCAACCTTATACCTGTTAACACATAGTCTAGTCATCAATCTTATTCCTGTTAACACATAGTTTTAGTCATCAACCTTATGCCTGTTAACACATAGTCTAGTCATCAACCTTATACCTGTTAACACATAGTCTAGTCATCAACCTTATACCTGTTAACACATAGCCCTAGTCATCAACCTTATACCTGTTAACACATAGTCTAGTCATCAATCTTATACCTGTTAACACATAGTCTAGTCATCAACCTTATACCTGTTAACACATAGTCTAGTCATCAACCTTATACCTGTTAACACATAGTCTAGTCATCAATCTTATACCTGTTAACACATAGTCTAGTCATCAACCTTATACCTGTTAACACATAGTCTAGTCATCAACCTTATACCTTTAACACATAGTCTAGTCACAACCTTATACCTGTTAACACATAGTCTAGTCATCAACCTTATACCTGTTAACACATAGTCTAGTCATCAACCTTATACCTGTTAACACATAGTCTAGTCATCAATCTTATACCTGTTAACACATAGTCTAGTCATCAACCTTATACCTGTTAACACATAGTCTAGTCATCAACCTTATACCTGTTAACCCCATAGTCTAGTCATCAATCTTATACCTGTTAACACATAGTCTAGTCATCAACCTTATACCTGTTAACACATAGTCTAGTCATCAACCTTATACCTTTAACACATAGTCTAGTCATCAACCTTATACCTGTTAACACAAAAGTCTAGTCCATTCATTCTTATACCTGTTAACACATAGTCTAGTCATCAACCTTATACCTGTTAACACATAGTCTAGTCATCAACCTTATACCTGTTAACACATAGTCTAGTCATCAACCTTATACCTGTTAACACATAGTCTAGTCATCAATCTTATACCTGTTTAACACATAGTCTAGTCATCAACCTTATACCTGTTAAACACATAGTCTAGTCATCAATCTTATACCTGTTAACACATAGTCTAGTCATAAACCTTATACCTGTTAACACATAGTCTAGTCATCAACCTTATACCTGTTTAACACATAGTCTAGTCATCAATCTTATGCCTGTTAACAAAATAGTCTAGTCATCAACCTTATACCTGTTAACACATAGTCTAGTCATCAATCTTATACCTGTTAACACATAGTCTAGTCATCAATCTTATACCTGTTAACACATAGTCTAGTCATCAATCTTATACCTGTTAACACATAGTCTAGTCATCAACCTTATACCTGTTAACACATAGTCTAGTCATCAATCTTATACCTGTTAACACATAGTCTAGTCATCAACCTTATACCTGTTAACACATAGTCTAGTCATCAACCTTATACCTGTTAACACATAGTCTAGTCATCAACCTTATACCTGTTAACACATAGTCTAGTCATCAATCTTATACCTGTTAACACATAGTCTAGTCATCAACCTTATACCTGTTAACACATAGTCTAGTCATCAATCTTATACCTGTTAACACATAGTCTAGTCATCAATCTTATACCTGTTAACACATAGTCTAGTCCACTGTTGTCATCACACTTTATATCTCTTATTTATATTTAGCTTCATTTTCTTAAAACTTATGTACTATAAGATAAGATTTTGTTCGGATTTTTAACCCCGGAGGGTTAGCCATCCAGGATAACCCAAGAAAGTCAGTGCGTCATCAAGGACTGTCTGTCTTATTTCCATTGTGGTCCTCAATCTTGTCCCCCAGGATGCCACCCACATCAGTCCACTAACACCCAGGTACCTATTTTCTGCTAGGTGAACAGGACAACAAGTGTATTATAACGCATCGAAATGTTTCTACCCCGCCGGGAATCGAACCCGGGTTCTTCGTGTGTGAAGCGAGAGGTTTGCCAGCCAGGCCACGGGGGTCACCGTCTACGAGGTCATTCCCGATTTAAGTCCCATAACGTTTCTTTCCTCTCCTCTCAGGTACATAAATATTTACCACTAAATTCATCTAACATACAACCATTACTTAAATATGTATAATTCTCAAGTTTATCTTATACTCGCTTTTCTCTCCATAATTAATCATTTAATATTACCACTACTAAGTCAGTGTTGTTTCTGTCAGACACTGATAATTTACTCCCACTTACTCCGCCCAGTGGAAATTCTCTCACACTTCTAGACTTATCTTAATAAATACTAAAATATTCAGATTCTTATCACGCAGAACATTAAGAGTAAATTATTTATTTTCACTTATACTACGCTCAAACACATTTAAAGAAAATTATCTTGCCTTTTTAATAACTGATATATAAAATAGTATTAAACTCCTGTAATAGACAGAGGAAAACTTATCATCCGCCGTCCATGGAATTGAATCGTGAGTAAAGTACACGATATTGCTATTTAAAAATGTGAACAAAAATCTGAAAAGAATTTATAACATTTCGTGAGTCAGCTTAATGGGTAAGGATGCGATAAAGGGTAAGTCCCTTAATGACTATTATGAAGTCCTTAATTATATCTAGTAGGACTGAATCCCTTCTTTAATGACCCTCATGAAGTCCTTAATTATATCTATTAGGAGCGAATCCCTTCCTTAACGACTCTTATGAAATCGTTATTTATACCTAACATGGTAAGAGTGAGTATGAATGCTTATATCTAAATTAAAACTTACCAAACACCCACATAAAGTAACAAGGGAAGTGAAATGGTTATTGTTCACTTCTCTTCGCACTACGTACCTCTTCAGATTACTGAAGAGGTAATCAGTTGTTGTTCCGTTGTCTCAGTATACAAAAGCAATGAAATTTTGGGCAATTTCGTGCATAAAATGCAGTTCAGTGAGTGAATTCCATTTGAAATTACAATAATTTATGTGTCTCTGGTAAATAAAACATCAACTGAGTTGCTCATATTGACGTCTCTCTGTTTGTTCATCACCCTTGACTTCAACAACTTAATACTCACCTAAAAAATGGGACATTTGATGCATACTTGTAGAACAGAAGCAGGTTGGGGATGTCCCCATGCGGGTGGATCGTGGCCTTACAAGGCAGAGGTACCGTCATGTCCACCAGAGTCTCCACCTTGGTCACCACAGCTGTGTGGAAAGAGAGAGAAAAATCTTTTGAGACAGACATTCCCGTCTCACCACATCACGAAATCAACTGACCTGACATCCGAGCATTTCCTTAACCCACTTTCATATAAATGTTAACACATTAAACAGATTTCGTAAATATAAAGTCAGAGCAAGAATTTCATTACAGGTGTTCATGGAACGTAAATCTGACAATACAGAGATTAAAACAAATGTTTTGGTGGAGAATAGGATCACGTTGTGGAACAAATTCTTACTGAATGACCAATATGGATGGGTCATTCAGCGCAAGACGTAGTGGAGGCTTGATCCTCCGTCTGCTTAACGCGAAACAGACGCTTTTCCTTTTCGGCCACAGTTGAATCTATGTACACCATTAGAGACAATCTTTCTTTGTGTTATTATAAATGGTCAAAGAGAAACTCTCTTGTTTCCGCTTTAATTTTATTTATAACTTGCTTTAAACTGTTTTTCGGCTTAGCAAAACAGAAGAATAATAAAGACGAAATACGACTTCAGATGTGACCTCACATGTGACCCTACTGACTGGAGGAGAGTAGGAATGTAGTTATAGGCAGGTCACATTATCATTATTTTTCATATCACAGAACGCCAGGTTTGTGGTCTAGTTAAATCATGTTCATCCTGTCGCATCTACTGGCTCGCGAGAAACTATTAAAATGCGTAAATTTTGAACGAGGGAAAATATTTACAACCAATATCTCTGAGCAGAGGCTCGAACTTGGTCACTCAGATGAGAGGAAATATTTTTCTGGGGTCTGGCTGTGTGGTATAACTATTGTGTACTTTGATGCAGAGTGCGCAAGTTTGAGTCCTGCTCTTATCTGACGTACTGTTTGTACACACACACACACACACACACACACACACACACACACACACACACACACAAACACACACACACTGCGTGGAGTAGACAAAGTGGACAGAGACAGGATGTTCCAGAGAGGGGACACAGAAACAAGGGGTCACACTTGGAAGTTGAAGACTCAGGTGAGTCAAAGGGATGTTAGGAAGAATTTCTTCAGTCATAGAGTAGTCAGGAAATGGAATAGTCCAGCAAGCGAGGTAGTGGAAGCAGGAACCATACATAGCTTTAAGATGAGGTATGATAAAGCTCTTGGAGCAGGGAGAGAGAGGACCTGGTAGCGTGAAGAGGCGGGGCCAGAAGCTGAGTCTCGACCCCTGCAACCACATTTAGGTGAGTGCAATTAGGTGAGTACACACACACACACATACACACACACACACACACACACACACACACACACACACACACACACACACACACACACACACACAAACACAAACACACAGCGGAGAGGCAAGCGATTACATAGCAGTAACGCATCACTCTGGAGGTCCCAAAGTGATAATTGCAGTGATGTATAACCCACCACAGAACAACAGGAGGCCAAGGCAAGAGTATGATTAGAGCAATAGAGCGATGTTTGACACACTGGCTGCAGTGGCCAGAAGAGCTCATGCATGCAGGGCAAAGCTCCTGATCATGGGTGACTTTAACCACAAGGAAATCGATTGGGAGAACTTGGAGCCACAAGGGGGCCTAGATACATGGAGGGCTAAGATGATGGAGGTGGTACTAGAAAACTTCATGTACCAACACGTAAGGGACACTACAAGAGAGAGAGGAGAGGATGAACCAGCAAGACTGGACCTAGTATTCACCTTGAGTAGTGCAGATATTGAGGACATCACATATGAAAGACCCCTTGGGCCAGCGATCATGTGGTTTTAAGCTTCGAATACACAGTAGAGCTACAAATGGAGGGGAAAGCAGGAAGGCCAGGACGAATGATGCCAAACTACAAGAAACGGGAACTACACGGGAATGAGGAACTTCCTGAATGGGGTTCAGTGGGAGAGAGAACTGGCAGGGAAGCCAGTTAATGAGATGATGGAATATGTAACAACAATGTGCAAGGAGGCTGAGGAGAGGTTTGTACCAAGGGTAACAGGAATAATGAAAAAGTCAGGATGCGCTCATGGTTCACCCAAAGGTGCAGGGAGGCAAAAACCAAGTGTGCTAGGGAATGGAAAAAATATAGAAGGCAAAGGACCCAGGAGAATAAGGAGAGCAGTCGTAGAGCCAGAAATGAATATGCACAGATAAGAAGGAGGCCCAACGACAATATGAAAACGACATAGCAGCGAAAGCCAAATCTGACCTGAAGTTGTTATACAGCCACATCAGGGGGAAAACAAAAGTCAAGGACCAGGTAATCAGGCTAAGGAAGGAAGGAGGAGAGACAACAAGAAATGACCGTGAAGTATGTGAGGAACTCAACAAAAGATTCAAAGAAGTGTTCACAGAGGAGACAGAAGGTGCTCTAGAAAGACGGAGAGGTGGGATACACCACCAAGTGCTGGACACAGTACACACAACCGAGGAAGAAGTGAAGAGGCTTCTGAGTGAGCTAGATACCTCAAAGGCAATGGGGCCGGATAGCATCTCCCCATGGGTCCTGAGAGAGGGAGCAGAGGTGCGATGTGTACCCCTAAACAACAATATTCAATACATCTATCGAAACAGGGAGATTGCCTGAGGCATGGAAGACAGCAAATGTAGTCCCAA